TGTCATCAGAACTGTTAGAGAAAGTTTGGCTCAATAGATGTAATGATTGCCTTTCTACTAGTAATGGATGCTCAAAAGCATTCGATTATGTTCGTTATGATATTCTTTTTGAAAAGTTATTACTTAGGGGTGTTAAGACTTATTTAATGAAAGTTTAAATTTTTTTGGTACAAGCACCAAACATTTGTTGTTAGATGGAATAATTGTTTTTCTGATGTTTTTTTCATTCGTCAAACGGTGTTAAACAGGGTGGGATCTCTTCACCTATATTTTTTACAGTTTAACTTGATAACCTCAGTAATGAACTATCCTCCCTTCCATTTGGTTGTTTAATAGGGAGTCAGAGAATTAATCATTTATTTTATGCTGACGATATTGTAGTATTCAGTACAGGAGCGTATGGTCAACAATTACTAGTTGATACTTGCGGACGGTATGGCGAACTTAACTATATCTTTTTTAATGAGAAAAAAACGTATGTATGTTAATTCAGCCTCGTTTTCGAAGGTTAAGGAATGTATCAATTTATATAAGTGGTAGACTACTTCATTACGTCACTGTATATAAATATCTGGGACACTTGATCACTAGTGACCTTAATGACAACGTTGACATTCAGGCCTAATCTCGTCTCTTTTATGTGAGAGGCAACGCGATTATTCGCGATTTTAAATTTGCGTTCTTAGCTGTTAAATGTCATTTATTTTCTGTATTTTGTGATATTCCATATTGTGCATTTTTGTGGTCTAATTTTACACTTTGTAGTTTTAACTCTATTAGGAGAGCACACTCACTTGTGTTTCGTAAATTATCTGGGTATTCACATTCTGTTGTACAGAGTAATAGGGCATTGTTTGTTAAACTTTATATTAGATCTTTTGATGAAATTCTTCGGAAAAAGACATTTAGTTTGATGGGTAGACTGCACCTTTCATCTAACCCCATTGTAACAAAAAACATTGTACATTTCAATTCATTCCCAGAGTTTAATATGGAAATTATGGGAGAAGAGTATTTTTTGACTTGTATTTTTTTTTGCTATGGATTTTTTATGAATCTGAAATAAACATATAATAATAATAATGCATAGAGTGTCGTTCACCAACTTACATGCAGGTAAAAAATAATAAGCACACAATCTACAAGAAAAGACTTTCATAAACCAAAATTGGTAATAAATAAAGAAATAATTTATTATTTCTTTCAAAGGAATAATATATTGTACAAAATAGAAAATTAACAAGTGTCATATTGGAACATTCCACAATTCAGAGAAATCTATTAAATACATCAAGGTAACCATAAATTATATCCACCTTTCAGAAAACTAATCCATGTATGAATGCATATAAACCCCTCATTACATCGACTTCTGTCACCTTTCCTTGGCCTTCTGAACCTTGAAGGACCTAATGCCCACAATAACATATATATAAATATACAAGAGCCCCAACTGAATAAAAACCGTAGCAAGAAAACCTTTGCTAACAGTCTGTTGCCAGGATTTTACTAAATTCTTCTAATAAACGTAGTTCTCTGAATTTTCACTTTGCATAAGGTTATTAATAAAACATCTTGTATGTAAACCAGAAAACAACTGGAAAAACTTAGTACTAACTTACACTTGAATAATTGTTGATTTTTGATCACAGCTCACCTTTTATTTAAAACATTTATTTGAATCAAATATACACAGATGCAGGGGTCCTGCTTATTCTGACAGTTAGCCATCTTGCTAACACTATTTTTTTTATGGACAGTAGCATATTCGTCATAATATTCAGTTTTAAGTTTATGTAAACATATATTGCTATTCCCAAACAAAGATATCAATATGTACAATCAGGGGTTGACCAATAGAAACGAAGGAGGAATGAAGGAGATGGTGGATTTGGAACAAAACAATTTGCAGACAAATCACAGAAAAAAATATAGGTAGTTATAAAAAAAAATATCCCACACACACTTGATAGAGAAGAGCAAGCTATTTTTTTTTAAATACCAAAATCATTGTGTTAAAAAATGTAGCTCAAAACTGTTATGAACAATTATTTGTTGAACCCCCAAAGTTTATAATGGTCATCCCCAATACAAGACCTCTGTAAAAGTGATGAAGTACCCCTACCCATCATTCTTAAATCTTAAAAACTGTTAAATAACCATCTTGTACTAGAATCATTTAATTTGATGGCGTATTTTAATGAACAAGTTAGATTAATATAATGTGTCAAAACACATTTTGTGTATATCAGTATTATTTAAAAAAAAAAAAAAAAAAAAGTATATTTGTCATGAATAATTAAGTTATTACACTGAGACAGATTAATTTATTTTTCTGTATGTGTGTATGGGCCGCATTTACACTGGGTTATACATGTTACCATACTGAAGTTCATACAATGAATCCATGTGTCAGAATCAATCTTTTATGAACATTCATAACTTACAATTGAGAAATTTAATTTGAACACAAATATTCTTTTCGTTAGGTTTTAACACATACCTGTCATTGAATACATTTGAATAGTGAATGAATAGATTGAAACAAGAACATAAACCACATGTACATGTACTTAAACCTGACTAAGACAAATACCAATGCACAGTATTGGCTTAGTTTGCACAGATGATTTGCATAAGACCGAGAAATTTAGAAAACATTTCAATATTTACAATGTTTTACTGTGGTATCCAGTGCTGAAATGTCATGATGTGCTCATCTGTTGAGAAATGCCAAACTGCGTGCAGATGAGAAAGACAATAATTTCAAAGTAGTAAGCCTGGTGAGAAATGCCAAACTACGGAGCCTGGTGAGAAATATCAAAGTACTAAGCCTAGTGAGAAATACCAAACTACGGAGCCTGGTGAGAAATATCAAAGTACCAA